AACAAATCAAACTGCATGTTAACAAATCAAACAGCATGCTAACAAATCCAACTGCATGCTAACAAATCCAACTGCTTGTTAACAAATCAAACAGCATGCTAATAAATAAAACTGCATGCTAACAAATCAAACAGCATGCTAACAAATAAACAGCATGCTAACAAATCAAACAGCATGCTAACAAATAAACTGCATGCTAACAAATCAAACTGCACGCTAACAAATCCAACAGCATGCTAACAAATCAAACTGCACGTTAACAAATCAAACTGCATGCTAACAAATCCAACTGCATGCTAACAAATCAAACTGCACGTTAACAAATCAAACAGCATGCTAACAAATCAAACTGCATGCTAACAAATCAAACTGCACGTTAACAAATCAAACTGCATGCTAACAAATCCAACTGCATGCTAACAAATCAAACTGCACGTTAACAAATCAAACTGCATGCTAACAAATCCAACTGCATGCTAACAAATCAAACTGCACGTTAACAAATCAAACTGCATGCTAACAAATCCAACTGCATGCTAACAAATCAAACTGCACGTTAACAAATCAAACAGCATGCTAACAAATAAACTGCATGCTAACAAATCAAACAGCATGCTAACAAATCCAACAGCATGCTAACAAATCAAACTGCACGTTAACAAATCAAACTGCATGCTAACAAATCCAACTGCATGCTAACAAATCAAACTGCACGTTAACAAATCAAACAGCATGCTAACAAATCAAACTGCACGTTAACAAATCAAACTGCATGCTAACAAATCCAACTGCATGCTAACAAATCAAACAGCATGCTAAGAAATCAAACTGCACGCTAACAAATCAAACTGCACGTTAACAAATCAAACTGCATGCTAACAAATCCAACTGCATGCTAACAAATCAAACTGCACGTTAACAAATCAAACAGCATGCTAACAAATCAAACTGCACGTTAACAAATCAAACTGCATGCTAACAAATCCAACTGCATGCTAACAAATCAAACTGCATGCTAAGAAATCAAACTGCACGCTAACAAATCAAACTGCACGTTAACAAATCAAACTGCACGCTAACAAATCCAACTGCATGCTAACAAATCAAACAGCATGCTAACAAATAAACTGCATGCTAACAAATCAAACTGCACGTTAACAAATCAAACTGCATGCTAACAAATCCAACTGCATGCTAACAAATCAAACTGCATGCTAAGAAATCAAACTGCACGTTAACAAATCAAACTGCATGCTAACAAATCCAACTGCATGCTAACAAATCAAACTGCATGCTAAGAAATCAAACTGCACGCTAACAAATCAAACTGCATGCTAACAAATCAAACTGCATGCTAACAAATCCAACTGCATGCTAACAAATCAAACTGCATGCTAACAAATCAAACTGCACGTTAACAAATCCAACTGCACGCTAACAAATCCAACTGCATGCTAACAAATCCAACTGCATGCTAACAAATCCAACTGCATGCTAACAAATCCAACTGCATGCTAACAAATCAAACTGCACGTTAACAAATCAAACTGCATGCTAACAAATCAAACTGCATGCTAACAAATCCAACTGCATGCTAACAAATCAAACTGCATGCTAAGAAATCAAACTGCACGCTAACAAATAAACAGCATGCTAACAAATCAAACTGCACGCTAACAAATCCAACTGCACGCTAACAAATCCAACTGCATGCTAACAAATCAAACTGCACGCTAACAAATCCAACTGCACGCTAACAAATCCAACTGCATGCTAACAAATCAAACTGCACGCTAACAAATCAAACAGCATGCTAACAAATCAAACTGCATGCTAACAAATCAAACTGCATGCTAAGAAATCAAACAGCATGCTAAGAAATCAAACTGCACGCTAAGAAATCAAACTGCACGCTAAGAAATCAAACTGCATGCTAACAAATCAAACTGCACGCTAAGAAATCAAACTGCATGCTAACAAATCAAACTGCATGCTAAGAAATCAAACAGCATGCTAAGAAATCAAACAGCATGCTAAGAAATCAAATTTCATGCTATCAAACCTGCAGGATACAATTATTTAACTACAAAGAATTTCACATATTATCACATATAAGTACAGACATTTTGCTGCACCTGCTCCAGTAGACTTTGTTGTTGATTTTGTTTGATAACAATGTTAAATGTGTCATAAATAAAGTTATAATTCTTTTATTGTGTACTCTGTAAACATTTTACTGATGGCCTGTTGCTGCCATGTCACAATTGTGTATCTGTCTGTCTGACTGTCACCATAGAAAACTACAGAGTACACTTCAAAGTACACTACAGGGTAAACTACAGAGTACACTACAGAGTATACTTCAGAGTATACTTCAGAGTATACTTCAGAGTACACTACAGAGTATAATTCAGAGTACACTACAGAGTACTCTACAATGTAAACTACAGAGTACACTACAGAGTATACTTCAGGGTACACTACAGGGAACACTACAGAGTAAACTTCAGGGTACACTACAGGGTAAACTACAGAGTACACTACAGACTATACTTCAGCGTACACTACAGAGTACACTACAGAGTATAGTACAAAGTATACTTCAGGGTACACTACAGAGTACACTACAGGGTAAAGTACAGAGTACACTACAGAGTATACTTCAGGGTACACTACAGAGTAAACTACAGAGTACACTACATAGTATAGTACAAAGTATACTTCAGGGTACACTACAGAGTACAATGCAGAGTATACTTCAGGGTACACTACAGAGTACACTACAGAGTATACTATAGAGTAAACTATAGGGTATACTATAGAGTAAACTATAGGGTACACTACAGATAATGAGACAAAGAAGTGTTTTTGACATAGATCAGTGATGAATCATATATGAGTTAGTGTAATGCACCATCAGACTTTCTGACACTGCCCTAAACTGGTTTCAGTGCTGTCTATCTGCAAGGACTGAGTACATTGAAATTGCGGACACCAAGTCCTGCACACATCTCATCACCTGTGGGGTCCCCCAAGTATCAGTCCTAGGCCCTACCATCATCACCAACCTAGGTGTGAAAATGGACCCCATCTAACCTTTGAATCACACATAAAACACATCTGCAAAACCTCATTCTTCCATCTCAAGAAAATTGCAAAACTCCGCCCCTCTCTCACCTCCCAAGACGCTGAGAAACTCATCCACGCCTTTGTCTCCTCCAGGCTCGACTACTGCAACGCACTTCTCATTGTGATCCCTGGCAAGAGCGTACAGAAATGCAAATGCATACAAAACAGCGCTACACCGGCTTCCCGTCTCACTCAGGATTGAATATAAAATCTCACAATTTACCCATCAAAAGTTTCCTCTTCAAAAGAGCCTTTCCCTAAAAACCTGTCCCTAAAGCCACAGCTTACCTGTCTGACTTTTGCTATTGTTTTTATGGTTTTATTCTTATTGTAGTGCTTTCATGTTTTTGTTCAAAAGTCCCAGGCTATAAATAAAATGTAATATTATTATAATTGGTATTAATGTTGGTGACTTTATAAAAAGCAGACATAAAGAAGACTCAGCCTCAGCACTTTGTGCCTTGTCGATGTGGTCACTTCATTTTAGAGTAATTTCATTTTGTTAACATTTCAGATGTTTCTGTTACATCTAAGTATAAAACGCATAAAACCAGCAATTACTTGTTGTCTGTTGTTGTGTCCGGATGAGTCCCTGGGTCTCCCTTTTTGCTTTATTAGGTCCTATAGAGGCATCAGTGTTACTAATAATATTTTAATTATCTAACTCCATCAGTCAGTTGAAATATGGACAACAGCTATTTCTGCAGTTACCTAGCAACAGCAGAGGACGCTTCTTGCGCCGTGTCTGCAGCTTCACACCGAGCCCCGAATGTTCGGCTTCAAACTGTAATCACTTTCATTAGAGACCAATACTTCCTGCTTGGAGCTCTGTGACAAGATCAGAGGGTTGTACCGGGGGTGTGTGGTCACAGTGTGTACATGTGTGTTTATTTATTTAATCACTACAACAGGACTGATGGGTGTCACAGACATGTAGGGTTTGTAAAGAGTCGTTAAAATGAAGCTGATTGAATTTAACACGATTATCAGCTTCATTTGATGTGCACATGATTCATGTTTGTGTGTGAGTGTGTGTGTTCTACACTATGTCCCTGTCAGATGGTGAGCAATCTCGCTCTCTGCTCGGAGAGTTAGGATTTTCTAGACCAGTTCAATAAGGGTTAGGGTTAGGTTAGCAGCTAGCCGCTGGCTGCTTGGACATGTCGTGCTTTTGTTAAACCTGTAAGGTTGCATCATTCCTTCCAAAGCTACCTGACGTTTGACCTTGATGGAAGAATAAAGGGTTCATAACCATTGTTATGTTCATGAAGAGAGCTGCAGAGGGAACGTGTTAAATATCATTTTGTGTTCGTTAGGATGAATTCTTCACAGGATGAGGAATCCAAACACCCTAACTCAATCTCTCCTCCTACTTGAAATTTCTTAGGGTTAGGGTAAAGTTGACAATTTGAAGAAGAGAGGATTCCCTCTGCTGCGTGTCTTCTCAGCCGTGAAGAAGGTTTACACGTGAAGGAAGAGGAACATTTGAGTGTCACAGAGATGAATGAAGAGGTAAAGAACAAAACGAGAGAGAGAGAGAGAGACAGAGAGAGAGAGACAGAGAGAGACAGAGACAGAGAGAGAGACAGAGAGAGAGAGAAACAGAGAGACAGAGAGAGAGAGAGAGAGAGACAGAGACAGAGAGAGAGACAGAGAGAGAGAGAAACAGAGAGACAGAGAGAGAGAGAGAGAGAGACAGAGAGAGAGACAGAGAGACAGAAAGACAGAGAGAGAGAGAGAGAGAGACAGACAGAGAGAGAGAAAGAGAGACAGAGACAGAGAGAGAAAGAGAGAGAAGGAGAAGAAAGGGGAGGGGAGTCAGAGCAGGAGGAGCAACAGCAGAAGAAGAAGAGGAGGAGGGGAGAGCCGTCGCGGGCAGGAAAATAATTGCCGGCTGCAGGTTATTGGCTGGCTGAGCTGGTGCTGAGCTGCTGTTGTTCCAGCACGGGGAGGATGCTGCAGAAGGAGAGAGAGAAGCAAGCTGCAGATCTAACGGCTGATTCCTTGTCTCTCTGATCCAGCAAACATCTGCACAGAACGAGCAGGGAGGGAAACACCGGATCTGTTTCTTTATTCTGAAGGAGGGACGACAAAAAGAGCAGCAGCGGCAGGAGGGGGGGCGCTGAGAGGAAGATTTGCCCAGACCAGGATCACCTTCCCCCTCGGGGAAATCAAGGAGGGGATGCTTCTTAAAACATCTGGAAAGGTGAAACTTGTGGATCTTAAATGAGATTTAAAAGAAAATCATTGCAGATGATTTTAATTTTTACCAGCAGCTGGAGGTGAGTTTACATTAGTTACTAAAAACCTTGTGATGTTAAATCTGAGTTTAATAAACCTGGAAACACATGCAGCGACAGAATGATTGAAAGATGTTTATAAATAATACATATATCATATAATGTATTGATATATTAGAAACATCTCAAAATGAGAGTTCATTAATAAACAACACAACTTAAGATTACAGAGGATGCTTTTTAGTTTATTGTTCTTTCTGAGCATTTTTATGATTACACATCATTATGTGTGAAACAGATTATTGTTGCTTTAACGCATCAGGAGAAATCAAACACCTAGATCAGTTTGATCGCCACCTCACGATGTCGTGTAAACAGAGCTAACATTACGCAATCTGAAAAAGCTCTCTCCTCCTTTAAATCATCACTCTGTAACTCCTCCCCCTTCAATTGTTTCACAGTCGATCTAATAGAACAATAACCTCCAACAGGGAGAATGGCGTCTCTCTCGTGTCCACAGAGCGCCCCACTCGCACTATTTTGATACGAAGCAATCAATAAATCCAAAAAGTGGTCTCTTTCCTTGTCCATCTTCAAGTCAGCTTCAGAAGTTTGAACCTTACAAACAGATCTCAACTAGCATGTAATACATGAGCCTCTCCAATGTAGACATTTAGCCAAGGCCTATAGTCGTCATGGTAAATGTTTAATACACATACAAACTTTTCTGAAGGTTTTTATAAACAGAAAGTCCTCACTCATGTTCCAGCTCTGAAGCTCATAATGACAGGTGGACGTTCTCACCTGCTGCAGATGCCATCAAGACTTTGATGTGACCCCATTAAACGGACGTTTCAGGTCCGGGGGATCAAAGGCTAAAAACAGCTGCTGTTACACGTTCATGTTGACAAACAAACAAGTTGTGAATTCACTGTTTACCTATTACACTTTAATCTAAACACAGGTGACTGAACACCTGTGTGTGTGTGTCTGTGTGTGTGTGTGTGTGTGTGTGTCTGTGTGTGTGTGTGTGTGTGTGTGTGTGTGTGTGTGTTTTGTGTGTGTGTGTGTGTGTGTGTGTCTGTCTGTGTGTGTGTGTGTGTGTGTGTGTGTGTGTGTGTGTGTGTGTGTGTGTGTGTGTGTGTGTCTGTGTGTGTGTGTGTGTGTGTGTGTGTGTGTGTGTGTGTTTCTCTCTGTGACACTAAGCCAGATTTGATCCTTTCTAGAGAAATGTTGGAGGAGCAGAGGACAGCCAGAGAGGAGGAGGTCTGACGGTCTGAAAAACAAAACCAGGATCCATGAGAGTCTGCAGGGAGGAGCAGGAGGATTGGTTTGGCCTTCACGCTGATGTTTGCTGAAACTAAAAGCTCTGTTCACGTCTGTGGGTCGTCACTCCTGCAGGAGGACTTCAGAGATTTAATGTTTCTTGTTCCTGCTCAGCGGAGGATCTAAACACACCTGGATTTCAATGAGAGAGCAGTTTGAGCACAGAACCTGAAAATTCTCCAGAGTAAAGTGTTATGTTTGTGTCTGGTGGCTCCTGAGGGATGTACAGCAGCATCTCTCCTTTAAATCTCTTTTCAGGTTTTAAGAAGAGACTCTTTGAGGGTCTACGAGTTTAATTTCTGCATAAAAAGCACAAAGCAGCTTTATAGATTGGGGGATTACAACATTTGTCTTTTTGTCTTTTTCATGGGGTTTTTTTATCCTCATGAATCTCTTCCCTCTACTCATCATCTAACCGGCGTCCCTGAGAGGAATGTGTGGAGCAGGTGTTGATGACAGATAACAGCTGCACAGAGGCCGAGTTAGACTCTCAGTGAGTCACAGACGTGATGTTCAGTGACAGCAGCAGCAGGTAACACAGGCTGAGCGTCTTTGCTGTCAGTCATTTTATTCTGACAGAGCGTCTGTGGACGAGCGATGCCTTCATTAAAGTCAAATCTTTTAAAATAATTTTTTTTTAGTTAACATGAACAAAAACACCCACAGCTGAAATCTACTTCCAACATTTTCAGATTTTCAACATGTGACATCACGATAGAAACCTTTGAGAGCCGATGACTGAGCTGCAGGTCGACTTTAATAAAGTCGTAAAGTGCAAGGATACCCATGTATGGTTCAGGAAAAATCTTTAAAGAAATCCCTGAGAGATTAAAAATAAGTCTGCGATATGATATTGTAGTCATGAAGACACAAAGAGACAAAAAGGAGCGGGAAGAGGAAATGAACTCATTATTTATAGAAACTAGATGAAACTTCACATGAGCACAAAAATCTGACTTGAATCTTGACATAGAAACATTTCCTCTGCTGTGATTTGTCAGCATTATTTAAGGACACATTTGCAAACTTCACATTGATTGATTTATCGATCAGAGACTAAAAGATGAGATGGTCGATTAGAAAATGTTCTTAAATCAGTAGAAAACACTGTCCTGTGTTCAAGAAGCACAAACTTTATTCAGATGAATGTTTAATGTACGAACCCGAACCCTTTAGTCTCAACAGAAAGATGCAGCTGCTTTCATCTCGTCTTTGGGTGTTTTAACATTTCAGAGTCCTTTATTGTATAAAAGTCAAAAAGAAAAACAAAACTTAAAACCATCAGAGGGGAACATCTGACCCTCCTTTTAATATCACAACATATGAGCCATGTCTCTGGCACTCTGGTTTGATAAAACTCAGTCTGTGCTTCAATGAATAATCAGTTAGAAAAACTTGAATATAAATATTAAATGAATCCTTTCTTTCTGCTCCACAAACACAAATCTTTCTGTTCTGATTCTCTTTTAAACACTCATTCAGATTTCAGACTCAACAAACAGACGTTTATTTGTTCTCCCATCAGACTTCAGATGATTTATTAAAAGTGATGAAACTGTTTGTTTCTCTTCATGTGTAATCTATCGTCAGTTTGTCCTTGTTTCCTCTTCAGGAGGCAAAACAAATTTAGTTAAAAATATTCAATATTTACTAAACATTAAGAAGATGCAGAGACAGAGGATGAAGGAAGGAGGAATTAAAGAAGAAGAGACAGAGGGGCGGAGGCATTGAAAGACGCAGAGACATACAAAAGAGGACAGAGGAAGGAGGAATTAAAGACACAGAGATACAGGACGGAGGACGCAGGACAGAGGACGGAGGAGACAGGACGCAGGACGCAGGACGGAGGACAGAGGACAGAGGACGCAGGAGACAGGACACAGGACGGAAGACGAGTGTGAAACGTCATTATGGGCTGCAATATGTGTGTGGTCAAACGTCCGGAGGAGCAGTACAGGATCATGTTCCAGGTAAGAAAGAAGTTTGTGAACTCATTCTGACCAATCAATATAACATGAAATACAAACATGCAGCACATCGAGAGATTTCACTGTCATAGATTAATGTTCTGATGTCTGAATGAATGGATGAATGTGGAGGCATCCTGTTGTAAGGTGGTCTAAAGAGTCCATGTGAGCGGCCCTCAGTCTTTGTAAACAGATTCATCAAACATGTTACATTCAAAATATTATAATGTGCACTTAAGTGGCGTCCGAAAATTAAGAAAAATGAGTTTCCAATGAGTTTAATTCTCTCTGAGAAATGTATTTAGTATATTTGATGTAAGTCAAATGATCACTCACAGCAGCGTGCAGGTAAACACCTTGACTGAATCCCCCAAACAGCAGTTTTAGACATTAAAAATATATTTAGAAATAGTCATTCGAAATGCTGAGGCTGTTTTTTTGATGGATATTAAAAGGCACTGAAATTATTTTGAGCTTGTTGTATAAAAGTCCTCATGTAGCTTGAATGTGGTCGTACCGTGTTTTTGCTGTAACATTTCTGTGATTTGTAACGTGATGATCGTTGAAGGATCTAATTCTTTATGTTGAATGTTAAAGGGAAAAGAAAAGTCCACATGCTGGTGAAGCCGATATAATAATGCAGATGTGAGATAAAGTTTAACATGAGGGGAGGAAGTGAGCAAGTGTGTGTGTGTGTGTGTGTGTGTGTGTGTGTGTGTGTGTGTGTGTGCATGTGTGTGTTTTACATAGGAAACTGTAGCACCATAAATCACTGCAGGTTGGTCTAATAACTCTCCAAAGGTCAAGGTGTTATTCTGCTGAGTGAGGCTGGAAGTCACACCGGAACCTGTGTGTGTGTGTGTGTGTGTGTGTGTGTGTGTGTGTGTGTGTGTGTGTGTGTGTGTGTGTGTGTGAGAGAGTGTGTGTGAGTGAGTGTGTGTGTGTGTGTGTGTGTGTGTGTGTGTGTGTGTGTGTGTGTGTGTGTGTGTGTGTGTGTGTGTGTGTGTGTGTGTGTGTGTGTGTGTGTGTGTGTGAGTGAGTGAGTGTGTGTGTGTGAGTGTGTGTTTGTGAGTATATGTGTGTGTGTGTGTGTGTGCTCCTACTTCCACATGTTATGCTTCAGTTGACATCAAAAACACTAGCCATGTTATTGATTTAGTAAAATAACTTTTTATTTTTATATTCACCTCTTTGTGGTTAATTAACTTCCAAAAAACCCCCCAAAAAAGTTAAAATAATTTTATTTCCCTACTTTAAATTGTGTTTGAGAACAACTGAATTGACCAAATTATTTGTTTAATTTAGTATTTCTGATTCTGATCATAGCGAGCTATCCAT